ACAGGGACAGTAACAGGGACAGAGAGCAGTAAGTGGCAATGGTAATAGTAGCAGTGATTACTAGTCACAAGTGAGCCTGGTACAGAGGCGCCCCAGGGCACGCACTTGGCTGTGAGTTTACCCAAGTCCCTGACTTCTCAGGCAGGAAACTGAGGCCTGGGGACCGCCCTTCATGCCCGGCCTCAGCCTGCCAAGGTTACAGTGACATCCTTAGGAGACTTTTGAAGCTGCCGCCTCCTCAGAACGCAGCCACTTGGACAGGCCGGAGCGAGGAGGGAGAACCTGTGGGGATTGCAGGGGTTGGGGCTGCGGACTCCGGCCCTGGACCTTGGATGCAGGAAGCTGCCCACAGCCTGGACAGCAGCCTCTCCCTTCGGCCGTCCCTCCCCACCATTCCCTGGATTAATTTGCTCTTTCTGCCACAGTCGGTGTGGTTAAACCACAGAAATTCATCCTCCGAGTCCCGGGGCCTGGGAGTCAGATCCTTGGAGGTCTCCCCTTGGCTTGGCTGTGTGTGGTAGCTTCTCCTTGTGTCCTCACATGGTTGTTTGTCCCTGTTTGCATATCTGTGTCCTGATCATCTCCTCTTTGTGTGTGGGGGGGTTCAGTTGTAGATGGACACAATATCTATATTTTATTTATTTTTATGTGGTGCTGAGGATCAAACCCAGTGCCTCATGCATGTGAGACAAGCACTCTGCCACTGAGCCCCAGCCCCAAAGGCCCCCGGCTTTAAATCAGTACTGCAGATAGAACCCGTTTTAATTGATTTGAGACAGGGTTTAACTAAGTTGATGAGGCTGGTCTTGAACTTGCAATCTTTCTTCTTCAGCCTCAATCATCTACTCCTCTCTTTTTTTTTTTTTTTTAGTTTGATACTAGGGCTTGAACCCAGGGGTACTTTACCACGGAGCTACATCCCTAGTCATTTTTATTTTTTAAGACAGGATCTTGCTAAATTGCTTAGGGCCTCCATAAATTGCTGAGGCTGGCCTTGAATTTGCAGTCCTCCTGCCTCAGCTTCCTGACCTGCTAGGATTACAGGCATATGCCGTGGTGCCGTCTGGCCTCTCTGTTCTTAAGAACACCAGTCCTGTGGATTAGGGCCCACTCCAGTGACCTCACTGTGAATTCTCTGTAGAGAACCTCTCTTCAAACACAGCTGAATCTCACCACATGCATCTGGGGGATAAGTTGCATCCAGCCTGTCCTCCTCAGTGTCCTCCTTGTTCGTCAGGATCTCTGGTGTGTCCAGCTACCTTTCCCACCCTGTGCATCTCCCTGTCTGACAGCAGCCTGTTGGAGCTTCAGGTTTCTCCCTCTGGGTGGTTTCCAAGGAGGCCTCCGTATGGAGCAGTCCCCCTCTGTTCTGTGTGTGGGCTTCTTGGCTGCGTGGGTTGACGTGGGTGGTGCCTCTGCTGCCTGCTGGACTACAGGTTTCTGAAAGGTGGTGGGTTTCTGTAGGTTGGGTGGAGGTCGGCAGCATCTGAAGCCCTCAGCACAGCCAAGGCCTGGGGCCTCAGACACACTTGCTGAGCACCACCTGTATGCATATGCCCAACATAGCCAAGGCCAGGTTAGGTGCTAGGGAATCCAGGGAGGTCCCCGTGTCTCAAGGGAGGCAGACCCTACGCGAGTACTGGGCAGAGATGGGATGGGTTCCAGGGTCCAGAGGGCCTGGGGCTATTGTAGACCTGATGCCCTGATGGTATCAGCTCAGACCTGCACCATGAGAAGGGGCCAGCTCTGTGCAAGTGTGGGGCTGGGTGTCCAGGCCAAGGGCGTGGCGAGTGCAGAGGACAAGGCAGGGTTAGCAGGGAGGAGGCGGGTCACAGGGAGGTGGCCTTGGTGTGGAGTCAGGCTTCCTGCTGGGGCGGTGGGGTCTTCAGAAGGGGTGAAGCTGCCTGTGTGCTGAGCGATCCTCCTCACCAACGTTTGTGGAGTGGCATTTAGGACAGCAGAGGCGGTGGGGGAGTGCCTGGGGGAGACGCCTGAGGCTGGACCCTGTGACTGAGCCCGGCACCTGAGCTAGTGGCCCTGGGTACTCACTGTCTGTGACCCGTGGCTCTCTCCACAGCTCTCAGCCCGCTCTGTGTCCGGATGCTCGGCCTGCGGTGAGTGCCTGACCACCCTGACTGACTGGACAGAGTTGTTGCAGGGCCTCAGAGTAGGAAGGGGCCTTCAGCATCAACAAGGGAGCCCCTTGGTGAAGGTCACCCACCAGGTCAGGGCAGGACAGGACCTGCTTCCTGTCCTGGGCATGTGGACTGTGGGGCCCTGTGTGGACCAGAGCTTCCCTCACCCTTGTCTGCCTGGGGCGGCACCTCAGCACTCCTTGCTGCCTGCCGCAGGTGTTCTGTGGCAACTCAGGCAGGGCCAGGGGCTGTCCATCCCTTGGCCAGGGACACAGGACCTGTCCTCAGAGAGTCCTTCTGCAGATGACACAGTACTGTCCTTGCTTCAACATTTGGGCCTGTGGACCAGCTGGGTGCCCCCTGAAGAAGCACTCCAAAAGTCTGGGTCATCGTCAGGCTGCTGGGTGATGGCCATAGGAACCCAGAGGCTCTGTCAGGGCTCTGAGCGAGAGGGTGGGAAGCCACTGGGTACAAGAGCTGGAGGTCCCTGTGGGGAGGGAAGGGCAGGTCCACAGGGACAGGAAGTGGGCTCTTGCCCAGGGTCCTGGGTTCACCCAGCAGAGCCTCAGGTGATCACTGACCCTCGCTCCTCTCCTGGGCAGCTCCGATGTGGGTTCAGCCATGCAGGCACGAGGCGTCCATCGGAGCCTGGCCAGAGAGGGCCCCAGCAGGTGAGGCTGGCTTCTGGAGGAGGTCATATACCCCACATTCCTTGTCCTGCCTGCCCCCCGCTGCCTGCACTGCTGCTGACTGGTGGTGTCTGCTGGGCTTCCTTCTGTGTCCCTGCCCTGAGAGCTCTGCCAGGACCTGGCCTGTGGGTCCCATCCCCACCTCCATGTCCCCACTGCCCTCCGAGGTGGCCTTCTTGTGTTCCTCTGCTTATTCGATTCTGTGGCCTCAGACTTCAACCAGTGTGATCCCGGCACCGTGCCTGTGACTGTCTTTGTCCTTCCCTCCGAAAGACTGCTCTGGGCCAGGTCCTCCAGGCAGGGGTGCAGGGTGGCCACACCTGCCTCCCGGGGGCTCTGCCAGGCTGATGCCTTCTCATGCCAGTGTGTCCTGTGCTCAGCACCCAGCCTGCTGTGTCCAAGGCCAGAGCCATGGTTCCTAAACCCACCGAGCTTCCCAGGAGCCGCGGCGAGTTTGTGGTGACCAAGCTGGACGACCTCATCAACTGGGCCCGCCGAGTGAGTCCCCATTGCACTCCAAACCCCCCTCAGCTGCACACTCACACAGCGCTGCACACAGTGGACACAAGTGCACGCCTGTGTCCCAGCTGTCCTTGAACCCACCCTCCTCACTTCCACCCCGCCCTTCACAGTTCCCTGGGCCTCCACCTTCCTGGGGTCTCTTGACAGAGCTGTGTGGGTGGTGCTGGGGGCTGAACCAGCCTGGTGCCTGTGGGGCAGCACTGGACCAGCTGGGCTACATCCCAGCCCCCAGAGGAGTTTTGCAAATGAGAAAAGGCACACATTCTGAGAGCAGTAGGTCCTTTCCCCCTGCTGTGTGCAGGTCAGGACCAGGAACTCTACTCAGTGTCCAGATCAGCCCTGACCCACCCCAAGGCTGACTTTCGCCCACTGGCGTGTGCCTGTGAGCATCCTGCCAGAGCTGCAGCTTCCAGGATGCAGGTGCCCTCTGCAGGGTCTCGCATATCACAGAAATCTGGGGGCTCAGGATCTGGCCAGCCACAGAGGCCAGCCAGGTGGACCTGGCCATCCGTGCTCTGTAGTTTGGACCTGGCCACCTTTGTTAACACATCTGCTGGGCATGGGGGACACTTTGAGGTCTCCTACCCAGGTGGGGGGCCAGCAAGAGCCACAGAGGAACAAAGCCAACAGTTTGAGGAAATGGCCAGGCCAAGGGCTCAAGGATGGCTCCTGGGGGGTCAGCCAGGCTGTGCAGGAGCTGCTGGCTGCAGATCCTGGGGACGTGTGGGACAGGCTCAGAACTTGAGCAGGCCTGGAGATTCAGACCTATGTTCTCACTGGTGCCTGCAGGATGTGCTGGGCCGGACGGACTGACCCATGGGCAGTTCCTCTGATGTGTCTGGCAGCAAGTGCGCTCTGAGAGGGCCCCGGCCCGGAGCTCACTTGGTGTGAGGGGCAGCCCTCCCTCCTGGCCACTGCTCTTGGAATGGGAACCAGGGTAGTCCCTCAAGTGGGGCTAGCAACCTAGACATTTCCCCTGTGGACTCCACGGTGGGCTGTGTGTGACCCTGCCCCCCGCCCCCAGAGCTCGCTGTGGCCCATGACCTTCGGCCTAGCCTGCTGCGCAGTGGAGATGATGCACATGGCTGCACCCCGCTACGACATGGACCGCTTTGGTGTTGTCTTCCGCGCCAGCCCCCGTCAGGCCGACGTGATGATCGTGGCTGGCACGCTCACCAACAAGATGGCCCCAGCACTCCGCAAGGTATGCCTTGTCCCCTGCCCGGCCCGCCAGGGGCCTGCCAGGGGCCACAGAGACGGCAGACCTACGTCTCTTTCAGGTGTATGACCAGATGCCAGAGCCCCGCTACGTGGTGTCCATGGGGAGGTGAGTGCCGAGGGCTGCAGCCCCCTCCCTGCCCCCTGGTCTCATTTCTGGGGGCGGGGGAGCATAGGCAGGCCACACCTCCCCAGCGGCCCAGCCTGCAGCAAGCACCCGCCTAGCACTCCGCTTCTTGAACTTGGGAGCAGTGGGTCAGTAGCCTGGCACTCACACTCCTGGGCATCGCCCTCGGTCCTCCCTACCAGGGCTGTCTAGTCACTTTTAGTTTTTTCCAGATAGAATTTGCATACCATGAAGTTGACCATTTAAAGTGGGCAGCTCAGTAGCTTGTAGTTACACAGAGGCATGAGAATCTGTAGTTCCAGAACATCCTGTCACCCCAAAAGGAGACCCCATCACCATGAGTAGCCCCCGTCCCCCCAGCCCTGCACCCATGAGTCCACATCCCGTCTCTGGACTCCCCTGTCCTGGACTCTCCTGTCACTGGTCATTTGCTGTGGCCTTGTGTGTCTTGATCTCATTAAGCATCAGGCGCTCAGGTCTGTCCACACTGCAGCTGTGTCAGCTCGCTCCTGCTGGTGGCCAAGGACGCCCCAGCATGTGGACAGCCCAGTAACCTCATTCAGAGCAGTTGAGATACACCCCAGAGCTCACTTAGCCAGTGCGTCGCCAGGCGTGGCTGTTCCTGTTCCCACAGCCCTGGGGCCAGTGGCCCGGAGTTGGGGGGGGGGTTCCTGGCTTGCCCTGGGGTGGAGGCAGCAGGTTGTGGGTTTTGGCATGGCCTTGGCGACCTGTGCTCCTCCAGGGGCTTCCTGCCAGTCTTCTGACCTCACGCTGGCCGCCCTCGGGAATTGGCCATCAGCAGACCTGGGCTGTTGTACACCTGCCCCTGTGCTGCAGAGGGGCCCTGGAGGCTGCCATCAGCTGGTGGGGGGAGGTGGGAGGAGGTGGGTGCTGCCCGCAGCCCTCTGCAGAGTTGCCCCTCCCCCAGCTGCGCCAACGGAGGCGGCTACTACCACTACTCCTACTCCGTGGTGAGAGGCTGTGACCGAATCGTGCCCGTGGACATTTATGTGCCAGGTGAGGACATGCTCCAGAGACAGACTGGTCCAAGGTAGCCCAGCCCCTGGTCAGCGAAGGGACTCTTGCAGGGAAGGTCCAGATACTGGACTGGCCCATGCTGGGACCACATGGAGCCATGTATAGTTACAGAAATGGGAAAATGTTCCTGGAGGCCAAGGAACACTCCTGGTCCTCACAGGAAGGCCCGTAAGACCTCCTCAGATCCAGGGGTGACCAGGTGGCCATACCTAGCAAATAGAGTGCAGGGCAGGCTGGTGTGGCCCAGTGGTGCTGCGCCTGTTTGACACTCGTGAGGCCCGAGTTCTGTCCCAGCACCACAGGAGCCAGGAAGCGCAGGGCCAGGAGCGACAGCCAGGGCTTCCTCGGTGTGTGTGTCCCATGAGGGCTCAGGGCCTTCTGAGCGCTGGCTGGCTGACAGCATGCCGACCTGGACGTCCTGTTTCACATGCAGGCCTACGGTGTCCCCTTCCTTGGGCAGTCCCAGTGAGTGGCAGATGGGCACTGTGGGGTGGCTTCCTGGGCATTTGTTTTGGTTACAACCAGTAGTCATTAAGGTCTGGAAGCAAAGCTCCCTCTGGACATGGGGGACAACCATGCCCAGCTCTAGGCTGTCTCATGCTGTAGCCTGGGCCTCCAGCGAGCAAGGGATGTCCCTGGTCAGGAATGCTGGAGGCTGGTGCCAGGGGACTACCTCCCTGTTCTTCTTGGCTCAAGCTGTCTGCCCTGGGCTCCCTGGCCCCAGGTCCCATGCCTGTGAATGTGGGCCCCCGTACCCAGAGGGCAGTGGCTTCTCCCCTCTTGGGAGTGCCGGAGGGCCAGACCAGGCAGTGCAGGCACTGCCCAGGTCCTGTCTCAGGCCTGCAGAGTCCAGGAAGAGTAGCAGGAGGGGAAGATGAGTCAGCCTGGCCCATTCTGCACAGGTCTTCTACCTGTCCTGCCCACCTGCCTGGGCCCAGCAGGGTGCATTTGGTAGACCTTTGTGGGGCTGGACTGCAGAGGGAAGGGCAGGCTGGAGTGGCCTTACTGCTCTGGCCAGAGGTCACCCACAGGAGAGAGCTGAGCTCGTGTCCCCCACAGGCTGCCCGCCCACAGCGGAGGCCCTGCTGTACGGCATCCTGCAGCTTCAGAGGAAGATCAAACGGGAGAAGAGACTCAAGATCTGGTACCGCAGGTAGCGCCTCTGCGGCCACTGGAGCCCTGTGCACCCTGCCCCCAAGACGGAATAAACTTCAGTCCTCGTGCTGTGTGGAGTGTGGGGTGCGAGGCGCCCTGGGCTGAGGGATAGCAACCCCCAGACAGATGGACAGTGTGGGACAGAGCTGAGGAGTGGGTGAGCCTGGTATCCTGTGCCTGCTCAGTAGGGCCTCTGCCAGGCAGGGTCTCTTACTACTCTGTGGATGAAGATGCCAGGGTGTGAACTGCCTGGCCCCTCACCCAGATGACCCCTGCTGGGAGGCTCTGGCCTGGGGCCCCTGACCCTCTCCCTCTCAGGCCCCCTTGGTTTAAACAGCTGCTGGCTTTTTGGGTGGCTCAAGTGGCCACTGTCTCCTGAGTCCATGTCTGAGTAGTTTGGACCTGTAAGGACACTGAGAGGCTGAAGAGAAAGAGCCACATCTCCACCAGCTGATCCTTACCCTGGAGACACCAGGCACAGGTGTCCCCTTTGGGGACCATCCCTGGAGCACCCCTGGGTGCGCAGTCTCCAGCCAGGTGGCCTCAGGAAGGCCTTCACCAGAGGCTGCCTTCCTCAGAGGTGTGTGTTCTCAACCATGTTTGGATGTCCTATGTTCTGCCGACCCCAGCTCTGCAAGTCCACAGCGAGGGCCACCACGGGTTTGGGGACAGGCAGTTCCCACCAATCAGGGATAGGATGGCGGACCCAGATCACTAGGGTAGAGGCAGTGGGTGCCTGGCCCAGTCAAAGGACGGCTTTTTTTGGTACTGGGGACTGAACCCAAGTGTGCTTTACCTCTGAGCCACATCCCCACCCCTTTCATTTTAAGACAGGGTCTTGCTAAATTGGTCCCTAAATTGCAGACGCTGACTTTGACCCTGCAGTCCTCCTGCTTCACAGCCTGTCACTGGGATTGCAGTGTTGGCCATGTGCCCAGCCCAAGAACAGCTTTTGGGACAAGACCATGCTAAAGTGGCAGCTGTTCCAGTCAAAGGGAGTGTCCTGCACTGAGCCCTCGGCCTGGCCTTTATGCTCAGCGTGTGGAGGGAGCTGGCAGGAGTGTCCCTGCAGAGGGCACAGCAGCACTGAGGGCCTGCATGTGAATGGACAGGCCCAAGAGCTGCGTGGGTAAGGCCAACAGCTGGGGTGACCGGTTGGGCCCAGAACAAGCTGAGCCAGTCTGTTCCCTGGGCGGTGGGGTCCTGGTCAAGACCCTGGACAACGGGAGCTCTGCAATGGTGGAGCAGTACTCAGGATGACACTGCTCACTGGGGTGGGCAGGGCAGGGGCCATCCCCCCACCCTGTGAGGCCCTAACTAGCCCCTCAAGACCTTCTGCTGCCATGAGAGTAGTGGTCTCGCCTCCTGCCACCTTGGTTGGCAGCAGCTGCTACAGGCATCAGGCATGGACAGGGGATAGCCACCATGGGCAGGCTTCTGACCTTGGGAAGCTGGGCTGCACACACCACTGCACACATGCCCACTGGCCAGGCCCAGTGGCCGCCTTTATTTCACTCTCAGCCCAGCAGGTTACCTGAAAGTATCAGAAAAGCTGTGACCACTGCTGGATCAGGCCCAGCAGAGGCACCAGGTGGGGCACAGAGGCCTAGTAGGTGGGCCGTGGCCCACAAAGGCACTGAGTGTGTGCAGATCTGGAGGCAGGTGGCTCAGTGCTTGGTGACCAGGGGTATGATCATCTGCGGGAAGGTGTAGTAGCGGCAGTCGGCTGGCGGGACCAGAGCCATCACCTCCGTGCGGATGTCCTCCCTGCAGAAGCCCGCCTCCTGCAGCGCAGGCACCTGTGTCTCCTGGGGGGGGGGGTGGTCATAGCCCTGCCCCTCAGGCCCCAGGTGGGTGGAGTGCAGCTGTCAACATGCCCTGGGTGTCCTCCCAGCAAGCCCCCAGCCAGCATCCCAGGGCCAGCAAGGCACTAAGGCCCTCGGTGGCCCCGCCTGGGGTGGTTCTCCATGTCCTTAGGAGTGTACCCCAGAGCAGAAGGACGGACATGTGGGCTGTGGACACACGTCTCATGAGGAGACCTGCCTTTTGGCCCTGTGGTGGGCAGAGGCTCTGATAGGAACAGCTGGACAGGCCACAGGGGGACATAGGGCCAGACTGTATCCTCAGGGCACTGGGGAGCCATGGCAGACGGCTGACCCAGTGAGGGGTCTGGATGGACAGCCAGTACAGTCTAGCCCATCCAGGGCCTCAGCCCTGAGGCCTGCAGGAGGGGAGCCCTCCCAGAGGTCCCCAGGGCCTCTGCCTGGGAGAGTCGCCACCCATGCCCTCCCGTGGCCCCACCTGGAACATGGTGGTGATGTCTGAGTACTGGGCCTTCATCAGCTCCCCCCAGGAGGTGAGGTTGCAGTAGGTGAGCACTCCTCCAGGCTTCAGCAGGCGGAAGGCGTGGTCCTGGGGAGGAGGTGGGTTTGGACAGGGGCTCCCCACAGGCCTGCTGCACCCCAGCAGTCAGGAATGGGAGGAAAGCCAGGCGCCCTGCCCCGCCCGCACAGCACCCAGCGCCGCCGCTTCCTACCCTGATGAAGGTGAACTGGTGCGTGTGCCAAGTCTCCTCTGACAGCGGGTACGTGTCATACAGGATCCCTGCGTGGCAACAGGGCTCTGTCAGGGCTGGGCTGCAGGTGGGCATCATGTCCACTGGACACCACCTCTGCACACACCAGGCTCTCCAGTAGGCTCATGTCCTTGCCCACCCAGGCTGTCCCCAGGTGCGTGCCACACATGGTGTACTTAGAAGACCCCTCCATGAGCAGAGGCCGGGCAGGAGCCCCCAGAGAGGAGCTGGAGCTCAGCACACCCCCATGACACCCCCATATCTAGCTCCCGGGGCACCCTCACCGTCAAAGTGACTGTCTGGCAGTGTGGGCGCCACCTCTTCCCACAGGCCTTTCAAGGGGACAACCTTGGGAGAGGGGAGGAAAATGAAGACAGGGAAGCAGTCCCCCAAATCTCCCTACCTGCTGAAAGGGAGGGACTCCCAAGGGAGACCACCATCTCCCCATTGGCCGCCCCAGGCCCCCAGCCTCCTCTAGGGAGCGCCAGTGATCACAAGTGGGCTGCCAGGTCTGCAGGCAGAGGGGCACCTTGTGTGGCTGCCGCGGGGCCCAGTCCTGGAGTCGCTGGAAGACGCCATCATTGCACTCGATGATCCAGTGCTCATCGATGGGAGCCTCCTGCACCTTTGAGGCCGCGATGGCCATGCCGAAGCCCACCTCCAGGACCCGGCCTCCTGGACAGACAAAAGACACCAGGCATCACGTGTGGTTCCTCTGGGGAGCTGCCTGGAGGAGGGGGTGCAGGGCAAGCACTGGCCGAGAATCACATTTGCCACAAGGACAGGGGAGGGGTGCTGTGGGTGGACAGAACACAGCAGTCCAGAGAGGCAATAGCGTGGGCCCTGGCCAGTGTCCAGAAAGGGTGGCCTGCCGGAGAGGCCTTGGACAGAAGCTTCTGGCCAGAGCCCCCGGGGGGAGGTTAGAGCCTTGGACTTTGAGACCAGGCCCATGCTGTTTGTACTGGTGGCCCTTATCTCTCTAACTGGTTACTTTCCTGTCCCCTTCCCTCCCTCTGCACCACGAAGTTTGCAAGGGCAAAGCTGGGTTGAGGCCTAGGACTTGGAATGCTCTGGGAGGAGAGGTTACAGTCCTTCTGGACCGTGTATCAAAGCCCCTCTCCACTGCTCTGCAAAGAGACACTGGATGTGCTCATTGGCCAGGTGGGAGCACTGAGGCTCAGCACCCAAAGGCCACGTTGGACCTCTGAAGGGCTTCATGGGGGTCTTGGGAGTCTGGGGCACACGGCCTTCCACCAGGCAGTGCAGGGCCACAAGGGACAGCTGTCTCCTAAACTCAGCTTTCCAGAGCTATTCTTAGCCATTGCCAAGCGCGAGGCTTCCCCCGTCCTGAGAAGGCACCTGCTCCGCGTCCCACAGCTCCTATCACAGACAAGCTCCACCCCAGGTAGCGGTCCGAGGACCCCTGACCTGCCCCAGGGAGCAGGGACCTCATTTCTTGTGAAGGGGAAATTCCTGCTACTTAGCGGGCGCCTACTGGGTGCTGGCCTCGTTCCCGCAACATCCCCCCTGCCTGACTCGGTCGTCCCACTAGCAAGCAGCCCCACTCCACCACGAGGAAGCCGAGGCACGCAGGGGCGCTAGGGCGCCACGGGCAACCCGACCGTGGGCTGGCACGCCCCGGCCTCGGTTTCCCCGCCGGCGCCCTGGCGGGGGCTACCTCTGGAGGTGGCGGCGGCCGCCAGCGCGTGCATGTACGGGGTCTCCCAGCGCTCCATCACCGGCTTGCCCAGGATGCGCAGGTGCGTGTCCGCCGGGTCGTAGGCCGCCGGCGCCGCGCGCCACGCAGCGCCGCAGTCTTCTCCGGGCGTAAAAATCGGGCTGTCTGCGGGGCGGCTCATGCTGCAGCCGTGCGGACTCGGCTCAGTGCGAGGCGGGCGGCGGGACCGCAGGCGGCAGGGCCTCCCAGGCCAGGGCGCGCCCGCCGGGCAGGCGGGGCCTGCGGGGCGGGGCCGGGCCGAGAACGCCGCCGCGCGCGCCTCCCCCTGGGCCTCCGCGGGACGGCGCCCGCCCGGCGGCCCCGCGCCCCGGGAAGCCAGCCCTACTCCGGTGGCCCCCGGTCCCCACCTTGCTCAGTTTTCCCCTCTACCGCCGCGCATAAGGACCAGTTCGCTTCTCAGGGCCGTGGGGATTTCCAAGTTTCTGGAATTTCTGGGTGCTATTGGAAAATGCCTTCAGAACGTGCTTCAGGGGTTTCTGCAGGGTATCCCCATGTTATAGACGGGGAAACCAGGAAGGTGGAGGCGGGTCGCTCAGGATCACAGCCACCACTGCCACTATATGAGCTTAGGTCACACCTCGGGGTGCTGGGGTCACCCAAAGACCTCTAATTCGGGACACCATCACCCAATTCCAGCTCTGTTCTGTCCCTCACACTGCGCAGTCAGGCAGGCATCTTTTTTTCAGAGAGAGAGAAGAGAAAGAGAGAGAGATTTTTTTTTTTTAATATTCTCTGTGGACCCAACATCTTTGTATGTGGTGCTGAGGATCGAACGCATGCCAGGCGAGCGCGTTACCACTTGAGCCCCATCCCCAGCCCTCCCTGTAGGCATCTTGCAGCTAGGGAGGCTGAGACCTTGCCCTAGTCCAGGGCAGCCCCTTAGGGTCAGCTCGACCTCTGCCTGCTTCCCTGGACCCCACACCAGGCTGGGTTGGCTTCCTGGCTCTGATACATGATTTCCTGTTTCTCATCCAGACCACCTCAGGGGTCCAAGCATTCTGTGGGTGCTCAGTGCTTTGCCCAGTCCGCAGGCGGGGCTGTTTCATTCCCGAGTAACAGTAACACCCAAGGAAACTGAGGCAAGGAGAGGTGGAGGGCTCTGAAATGGCTGCATGCCAGGCCTCTGCCCTGCACTTTCCAGGGTGCCTCTCTGCTACAGGCCTGCGGGGGGGGGGGGGCCCTAGTCCTCCTCCTCAGCAGCCTCGGGAGCACTCTGTCCCTCTGCCTGACCTCTGCACATACTCTTCCCTTTGCACATTTGAAAGGCTATCTGACAGGCCCGGCACACAGAAAGCTTCATGAATACCTAGTATGGGTTAGGTAGAATGAGGTCTGACCATGAGGGCAGGGCAGGACCCCCAGGAGGCAGGGCGCAGGGCCCAAGCTGCATTTCCCTGTGCTGTTCTCCCGTCCTTCATCCTGTCTGGTCTCTCACTCCTGGCTGCCAGCCTATGATGGGCACCTTGGCTGGTGTTGCAGTGGCCCTGGGATGCATGCGTACAGGGCATGGTGGAGCCTGCTCCCCTGTGTGTGTCCTGCACAAACAGATGATACTCACTAAGTGTTGCCCAACCCAAGGGAAGCCCTGGAATACACAGGAAGGAGACCCACCATTCATCAGCTATTGCTAGATCTCCTGAACAGCAGCAAACAGGCCAGTATCTGTGGTCAGCAATGCAACTGAGTATTCCTCGGCCTACCATCCCTCCCAAGGCTGCAACTAGTATAGTCAGTGCTGTGGTCCCCACGTGAAGCCCCACTTGGGGCTGGATCTGCTGCCAAGCTCACCCATGGCCACTGGCACAATGCAGTTTCTTTTGGGCTCTTGTACAGGGTCTTGCCAGCATGGCAACTTGCCTCATCAGAGCCCACAGAGGACAAGAGGCTTCCATTAAGATGGTGGGGGTGAGGCTGGGGATGTGGCTCAGGCGGTAACGCGCTTGCCTGGCATGTGGGGGTGGGGGGTGGGGGGCCGCTGGGTTCTATCCTCAGCACCACATTAAAAAATGATAATAAAATAAAGATGTGGTGTCCACTGAAAACGGAAAAATAAATTTTAAAAAAATTCTCTCTCTCTAAAAAAAATAATTCTCTCTTAAAAAAAAAGAGATGGCAGGTGTGTGAGGGGGAACCTTTCAGTGGTAGCCCAAGAGGCCACCTGGGCTCCATGTCCAGCAGCAGCAAGAGCAGGCACACTCTGCTGGCAATTTGGCCAAGTTCAAGCTTCAGCCTTTTCCTGTACTGTGACCACTCCCGCCTTTTCTAACTGTCTGCTCGCAGAGGCCTGGTTTGTGCCTTTGTCCAAGCTCTACAGCCTATAAACCCAGACTCAGAGATGGCAGTGGCTTCCAGTAGCTCTCATGCACTGAGCTGCACCTCCTCCCATTTTTATTTTAGGACAGTGTTTTGTTAAGTTGCAAAGTCTAGCCTCCAATTTTTTTTTTTTTAAAGAGAGAGTGAGAAAGGAGGGAGAGAGAGAGAATTTTTAATATTTATTTATTTATTTATTTATTTTTTTTTGAATTTTTTTTTTTAACATTTATTTATTTTTTCTTAGTTCTCGGCGGACACAACATCTTTGTTGGTATGTGGTGCTGCTGAGGATCGAACCTGGG